TACATGCAGGCTCTGTGGGCACCCCCTCCAGACACGTGCACAGTCCACCTGCATATGCACGTCTGCATCCCAGTGTGTGCATGACACACAGCACACACAACATACATGTGCACAATGCACACACACATACAAACATGGTTAACATACACACACTGGACAAATCTTCACTCTCCCAACGCACAAGGTCATTTTCCAGGCTTCTCCCTTCGGGGCATCCAGATTCCAGGCTCCAGGTCCCCAAGGGCAACCTCTAGAAACTACAGCAGGCTGAGGACCTCACGGGGCCAGGAGTCCCCCACACACTCACCAGGTGATGAACATCAGCAAGGGGGTCCCCAGGCTGGACTGCAGCTCCCCAGCAGGGACCTTTGCTATTGCCTGGAAATCTGTCTACACTTTTCCGGCTGTTTTTCTTGCAGTTTCGTGAAAAACCCAAGCCCGGAGACCTGATTGAGATTTATCGCATTGGCTACTCGCACTGGGCCATCTATGTGGGAGACGGTTATGTGATCCATTTGACTTCTCCAGGTAAGGACTGTGAAAGTATCATTTCAAAAGATTTGTAACATAATAAGCTCAATTCAAGGCCATATGCCACCATGGGAAACCCGAGTTGGTTTTGGCCCTGAGCAGTGCTGGAGGACACGGTACATCTGTGTCCCTTTGAGCAATCCCATTGGTCCCACAGGTCCTGACGCAGCAGGGAGGGAGGTCCGTGACCCCCAGTGAAGCCGGGCTGCGTCCCCATTCGGAGCTCTCCAGCTCCACGCACTGTACCTGGGCGCACAGAGTCTCATTTAACTTAAACCAGCAGTCTCTGAACGTCTGCGGTTCACCGAATGTTTCCCTGGGCTGTGTCCTCTGTGCTCACATGATGTCACAGCACAAGGTGTCCCGAGCGTCTTACTTACCACCCCTCGTCAGAAGCAGCTCTGCCAGGTCACACGTCACAAAGGAAGTTCTCCCACAGCGCACACGAGCTCCCAGGATGCTCTGTTTGACTCGTGGGCACAGAACAAGCAGGGTGACTCCGCAGGGAGAAGGAGAGGCAGGACCCAGGGTGAGCATCCTCAGTGAGCAAAGTGCTTCAGGAGACTGTGGACGGGGATGCACAGAGGCCCGTGTCCTGCAGAGCCATCGCTCCGTAACCGTGGACACCAGAGTCCGCGTTCTCACTGGACACAAATGGTCATCACGATCAGAGTAACCTATTGTATCTGACCAGGTCTCCATGGCCATCGTCCACCTTGACAGAGCTGTGAAAGTGTCTGACGTGATGGCAAAGAGGAAATGAAACCCCCTCATGCGGACGGCACTGAGGGGGCTGGGACGGAACGCATGGCTGTGAGGCCCGGGTCCTGTCTGTCTGAGGGCGCCACAGCGCTGCTGAAGGCACAGCCTCCAGTGCCAACATCAGCCTCCAGCCCGGACAGAAAGTGAGCGCTGCATGAGTGTGTGCTCCGTCATCTCCCTCTCAGGATGAGCCTGGGCTCGCGGACAGGGGGTAGGGCTCCCTCGGCTGCAGGCTCGTGTGTGGAGTCTCCACGTGGCCGGGACTGTGCCAGAAAAGTGTGATGTTGTCCCAGGGTCCAATATCGATTGTCAAATGGAAATGAGAGTATTTACCATGAACCTGAAAAGGAGAATACATGAGGTGACATGAAATTTGCACAGCAGAGTGTTTGAAACGCAGTGGGGACTAAACCACCCTGCTCTTTGTGGAATGCACAGCGCCCCAGGATGAACATAACAAACAGGATCACTGCCGTTGTTTACAATGGCTAAGCATTTGCACGGCCTCAATGTTAGTCCTAGGCATTGGTCCACCGGATGATGGAACAGGCAGCCCCTGAGCATCACAACATCATTGTCCTTACAGAGCGTCCACAGCTCGTCAGGTGGAAAGAGCCAAATCTGAGAGTCCTCCAATCTCCTCGGAGGGACAGACACCACAGCTCAGTGCTCTGAGATGGGGGTGGTGATGCACTTGGCGACATCGTGAAGACCAGATGATAGGAGGGAGACCTCTGCACGTGTCTGGTCTGTAGCAGGTGCTCCACGGATTGTCTGCGTTGTTCAGTGCAGACTGACCACTGTTGTCATTAGACATCATTCCTTTTACTCTCAGGTGCAACACACCAAACAATTATGTCCCCATGTTGTCCATCATCTGGTACCTGAATCAACATCTCCAAGAATCTCCTTCAGTCAGTCCTCCTTCTTAGGAAGGCTTGTGTTTTGCTCTGTTTTTTAACTCAGAGGTCTAGTCCTCGCCCACCTGTGACTACCAGATGGAATTATGTTATCTTTCCATGCCCCCCTTGCCACGGTCCAAGCTGGGTTGAATGCTGAACACTAGCCGCCTCTACTTTCAGGGCAGTGAAACGACTGCATAAGACACTGTAATGATGGACACACGTCATGACAATTTGTCCAAGTTCACAGAATGCACAACCCCAAGTGTGAATCTTGAGCTAAACTAAGGACTTTGGGTTATTGTGATGTGTCCATGTAGGTTCATCAGTTGTAACAAAAACATACCCTCTGGGATGGGAGGGCGATCTGCCTGCGACATCTGTCACCCCATTGATCTCCAGGGTTGATTTGGCTGATCTGGCTGGCTAGGCGGGTGTCCCCTCCTCCCTCAACCGGTCCACGTGCGTCCCTCCCGAAGCCGCACACTCGGTTGAAGAGGACGAGCTTCCCCCCAGAGGAGAGGACCGGTCTTCGGTCAAGGGTACACAAGTAGCTGCGCTCCCTGCTAGAACCTCCAAACAAGCTCTCAAGGTCCAAAAATATACCCTCTGGGGAGGGATGTCGACAACGGGGAAGGCTGTATGTGAGTGAGGGACATGGGGGTTTGGGAAATCTCTGTAGCTTCTTCTCAATTTCTCTGTGAACTTAAAATTCCTCTTAAAAAAAAAAAAATAAGTCTTTAAAAAAACTAATCACCTCTGACTATTTCTCCACTACTACCTAGTGTGCCCTGGGTGTGGTCTCAAAAGTGGCGGGTCCCCTTGTTCTGGTACTTCCTCACCTGGCCTCTACCACCAGTGACCCTACTGAATGGCCACTCCATCTGGCCGTTCTCTATGGTTGTCACCACGGCCACTAACACTCTGACTTGAGAATATGGGATGTCACCCTCCCCTGGGCTGTACCTTCCCAACCGTGACAGTGGGTCCCTTGATCCCCCCGTCCCACCCCCCGTGCAGTAGAGACCCGGCTGGAACAATTCATGGGACTTCCCTGGAAGCTGAAGGCTATCAGAAGGTTGACAACAAAGAGGATAACTTATACTTGCTACTACCAAAGAGGGCTTTGCTCAGATTCCCAGGCTGGAATGTCAGCCTCCCTGTGGGGGTTCCAGAGGGTCCGTGCTTGCCTCGCTCCCAGGCTACCTCTGGGTCCAAGGGCCCGGCTGCTCTGTGAGGCCCACTGACCAGAAGGCTGAGCAGCAGGAGGAGGCTTTCTCTCCTCTTGTGACTGAAGTTCACCAAATAGCAGTGGGAGATTGGAGATTGGGGAGTCAGGTCTTACGATGTGAGCTCCAGCCCCTAATTCCAGTCAATCACCCCTGGGACAAGACCCAGGCTCCCCGCAGCTCTGGAGGGACCAGTCAAAGGTCAGTGCCAAGTCCACCTTCTCCCCTGGGTGCCCCTGTACCAGAGGTGCCAAACCATGGACTTTGGCTCACCCACAATCCCCTCCAAGTGGAATTGCCTCTGTGGTCAAGTTTAAACTATGCGACTGGCCCCATCGGGCAGAGCTGATTGGCCCAGTGAGGTCACCTGACCCAACAGCAGCCAATCGGTAGGCTGAGCTAGGATGTGGTGAGCTGAGCCTATCAGATTCTCTCTCAGGAACTTGAACAGGGAGCGCAAGAGCTGCAGGCAGTGGGGAGGGATGGAGCTGAGCTGCTGCGGAAAGAACACCACAGGATGGGGCGGCAGAGATGGTGATTAGCAGCACAATTAGATTATGATGCTACCCATTCTGGAATCAAGAGGAGCAGAGAGTAACCGGAAGAACTGGGAGCCTCAGCCACTGGTGGCTGGGTCACACTCATGGCTGAGACTCTTCAACACAGTTCCAGCCACTGAGGTCCCAGGCCCTGGCAGCCAATGGCTCCTGTTCTTGTCCATCCCAGGTGTGTCTCCCCTGCCCCTCAGGCATCCTTGCCCCATGGAAACAACAGAGCCCTCCAAGAGGAAGCCTGTGAAAATCAGAGAGTGGCCAGGGTGTACCTCCGTGCAGCTGGGCAGGAGCCTGCTAGTCAGCTGGGCTGCCATTGCAATATGCCACCGACTGGGGGGTCTCGAAAGCAGACATTTATTTCTCACAGTTCTGGAAGCTGAGAAGTTCAGATGGAGGTGCTGGCAGATGGTTCCTGGTGACACCCTCTTCCTGGCCTGCAGATGGCTGCCTTGTCACTATGTCCTCACATGGAGCAGAGAGAGCTCTGGTCTGTCTTCTTAACCTGAGGGCACGGATCCCATCGTGCCCACCCCTGACCCTGGCCACGACCTCTAAACCTAATCACCCCCAAAGGCCACCTCCAAATAGCATCAGGTTGAGGGTTAGGATTCAACGTGAATTGGTGGGGGAGGGGGCACAAACATTCAGTCCATGACAGAGCTCAACTCTTTCTTTAATAGAATTCATGCTAGGCTGTTTTTCCTCTAATAGGATTTTCCTGTGCTTTTATTGAGCTCTATTAGAATCAGTCTAAATGGCCCTGGCCGGTTTGGCTCAGCAGTTGGAGTGTTGGCCCGCAGACCAAAGAGTTGCGGTTCAATTCCGGCCAAGGGCACATTCTTCGGTTGCGGTTCATCCCCAGACCTGGTCGGGTTCGTGCGGGAGGCAACCAGTCGATGTGTCTCTCTCACATCGGTGTCTCTCTCTCTCTCTCTCTCTCTCTCCTCCCACCCCTCTCTCTCCTTTCCACTCTATCTAAAGATAAATGGGAAAAAAAATATCCTCGGGTGAGGGTTAAAAAAAAAAATCAGCCCAAATTATTATAAAACAGAGTAAAAGCCATAAAGCAAACCCCACGCTTGCTGGCAAAGCAAGTTTTCTCCATATTAACTGGTCACCGTTAGGATGATTTCTCAGAACTTATTGCTTCTCGCGCTTGTCCCTGTCCAGCAGGGACCCGATGAGGCCGGCGATGCCCAGGCCCACTGCTAGGACGACTGCTGACACGCCCACGGCGGTGACGGCACTGGTGACCTGCAACAGAAGGGAAGGGGTGTCACTCAACATCAGGACCTTCACCACGATCCAGGCACCGAGAACCTTCAGCTCAGGAAAGACCCATCTGGCCCTTGTCCCCTTCAATGAACCACAGAAGGAACCTTGTCAGCAGGGAGGGAATCCCGAGACAGCTGCCTCCTAGGAGAGCGGAGAAGGGGTGCCTGGTGGGGCACGAATGAGTGGAGGAAGGAGCTGTGGGTGCGAGGGAAACAACAGCCCTCTGTAGGTACTTTCAGTATAATAGAGCCCCGAGGGGTGGCCATGGAGAGGACAGAGGGCCGGTGCCCGACGTTCTAGGTCAGGGCTGGCCCACTGGGCGCCCTGAAGCCAGTGTAGAGTTGGGAAAACCACACCCGTGAGCTCTCACTACCCAGGGCTTGAGGGCGGGCAGGTTGAGGGGACTGCTGGGTGGCCCAGGAGCCCAGCGCCAGGCACAGCGCAGGCGCCCACGACCATGTGCTCACCAAGTGCCGTGACTGAGCAGCGCTGTATGGAACAGGATCACCTCGCTTCTGCGCTGACAGGGAGGGGTCCTGGGCAAGGAAGCGGAACTCGGAACACACACACAAGGCGGTGGAGACATGAGGACGACCCTGAGGGTTGTACACTTGGCGAAGGAGGTGTGAGCCACCGCTGCCCACATCACTGTGTTGGCAGAAGCAGACAGACTATGAGAATGCGGCGTTCCAGGTGTCTACACTGGGCGGGACTTCACGGGCACTGAGTTTGTCTTAATCTGCCCCAAAACCTTATTTATAACCCAGTGAGATTCCCGCTTTGCAGAGGAGGACGGGCAGTATAAAGACCCACAAAGCCACACTTTTGGCGAGTGACAGGGCCCAGGACCCGACTTCTGGTGAGCACACGACACCCTCCACAGCCAGAAGGAAAAAGACTCAAAACACACACCAAGTAGCAGGTTTCTATAGAATACCATGACTTGGAACCATGTGAGCATCTGGGGAAAGGGAAAAAATGCACTGTCCACTCCATTCAGACACACTCAGGAACTTTCCCCAGTGGGCGTTTGCAAGGGTGCAGAAGGGAGGCGCCCAGGACAGTCCGTGAAATGAAAAACTGCAGAGTGGGTCAGTGTCAGTGCAGTTGTCAGCTGGTTGGGTGTGTGGAAGCCAGGCTCCTCCCGTCCCACAGAGTGTGGGTGCAGAGGCCTGGCCTTCCTGACCACTGCATTCAAAGGACGGCTCCCAGGTCCCTGAGACTCCCGACTTGCAGGACATACAACACCTCTCGGGGCGGAGGACAGATCCACAGTTGCCAGCCCTTTCCCGTGAAGGCACTAAGAAAGGGAGGTCAGGGCCAATCCCAGAGGCTGGCTGGAGCAAACAGTAAATGCTCCTGGCTGCGGCGAGCCTTTTCAGGCGGGCATCGCAAGAGGCCCGAGGTCATTCTAGGGACTCGGCCTCAGGACAGGAGCCCTGCTAGAGTTCGGTTGCCGCCTAGAGCCCGGTTTGCATGGATTAGCTCTGTGCCAGGAGCTCTGGCGTCACCAGCCCACTCTCCTAAGGAGAGAGACGGAGGGAGTCTGTAGACACGGAGTCAGGGGAAAAGAAGGAGCAGACGGAGCCAGACAGCCTGGGTCATGAGTTACCCGCAGCGGAAGGCGTTAAGAGAGGCGCCAGGGACAAACTACATGGGACGACACGTCCTCCCCGTCCCTCAGGAACACGGCAGAGGGCCAAGCGCTCCTGAAAAGCTGGGGTCTCCCAGATTGGCCCTTGGGGCTTCAGCAGAAAGCTGTGATAAGGCCATCGCTGCCAGGCATCACGGAGCAGCTCCCGGTGGGCCCGGAACAGCCTGGGCTCCGTCCAGAGCCCTCATTTCCAGAGGCTGTGGGTTCCCCCTGCCCACTTCCCCTTTCACCACAGCCTTTCTCCTCCCTCCCAGAAGAGGAGCTTCATCCTGAATCGACAGCGCCTGGCCTAAGGCGTAAGCATTCCAGAAAGCCAGAGGGAGGGTCGGATAAGGCACTGCTCCTAAGCAGACAGGACTTCCAGAAGAAATACTAACCACAAACCCACCTCCAGGGAGGCTCCCTCCATCTCTATCTACTGGATTAGGTTAGAATTCCGGAGTGAGACCGTAATCATGGAAACATGCTTTAACATATTTATTTGAGTTGGGGGGGAAATGCAGCTTTTATTCTAAGAAAAATTAAGTCTGATCTGGCTGACGGGTTTGACAATAAGGCCCGGCCCATTTAAATTACATGGCAGACACTTTGCATTAACTGAATGAGCTCAGTGTGCAGCTCCAAGGGCGTGAACAAAACAGAAACATATGCATGCAACGTACCATCTACCGAACAGCCCCTCCCTTGCCACTTTTCAGTATCTGTGATTTTGTTCAGTGTTTGATGTCACCTACAAGTGTACACAGGGGTATGTGGTTTTTCAAATGGTCTGAGACCAGGAGTTCACAAGCTACGGCATATGGGTCAGCAGTCCCCCGCCTCTTTTTATAGAAAACGTGTTGAGGAACACAGCTGCCCCCATCCCACTAAGTATTGCCCACGACCGCTACCGTGCTGCAGCAGAGAGGAGCGGGGCAGACCCCGCGGGCCACAGAGCCTGAGGGCTGCCCCCGGCCCTCGCAGAAAACGTTGGTCTGACCCGACCTGGGCTTTTCCTCCTCCTGGCTCACCCTGTTCCCTCGGCCTGTAGTCCTTGTCGCCCCTACTCGCTGGTAATCTCCAGCTCATTTTCCAGTCTCAGATGAATCAAAAGAATGCAATCAGGCTCAGCTCAGGTGTTACCTCTGCTGTGGTGCCTTCCTTGATCATACGCCTGGGTTCAAATCCCACCTCTGCAACAGGGGCTGTCAGGTCCTAGAGACTCAGTACCTAGTTATTGGATGAGTTTGGATAAGCTAGTAAAGCACTATGAGAAACACAGTATCGCGTCCTCCCACAACCACATCAAAGTTACAACTAAACTACAGAACAACCATCATTCAAAACCACCTGAAATCAAGTTGAATGGAAGTCCTACAACTACGGAATTAAAGCAGCAGCCCCATCGAGACTGGTAGGAGGGCGGAGGGGACGGGCTGGTCCCACACCCACGTGTTGCAGATAAAAATCAGGAGGACAGCTCAGCTGGGAAGGCCCTCCCTGAGGCCTGAGGGGTCCCACTCCCACATCAGGTGCCCCGCTCAGGGTTCCAGTGCCAGGAAGAGAATCCCCATAACTTCTGGCTGGAAAAACCAGCGGGAACTGAGGCTCAGGGAAGCTGAAGCAGCTGGAGCCCCAGGCAGCTCTTTAAAGGTCCCCGCACAGACTTATCGGACTCTCTCCCTCTAAGCTTGGAGGAGAGGCAGCTCCAGGGGTGCCAGAGACACACAGGGAAGAACTGAGCTGTTTGGCACTGGAGCGAGGGCTGGAGAGGGGCTTTCTCCTGGACAGATGTGCTGTCAGGGGCCTTTGTTCCTTTGGTGAGCCCTTCCCTGGGGCAGCAGACAGTTGCCATATCTGGGACTCCAGCAACCTGGCTCACACTGGTAGCCCCGCCCTGGTGATACCCTGAGCGCCCCTTCCCCCCCAACTTTCAGGCCCACCCAAGCTGTTGCCTCTTGCTTAACCATAGGATTGGCCTGTCTTGGATCCTGCTTCAGGTTTTTCCTAAATTCTTTCAAACAAGCAGCATCTGGTCTCAGCTAGCCCCATACCGCTCGTTAAGTAATACACTGAAACAAGCACAGGGAGGCAGCCAAAATGAGGAGACAAAGAAACAGGTCCCAAATGAAAGAACAGAACAAAACCCCAAGAAAAGAACTAAGCGAAATGGAGATAAGCAACCTAACAGATGCTGAGTTCAAAATACTGCTTGTAAGGATGCTCAATGAACTTAGTGAGAACCTCAGTGAACTTAGTGAGGGCCTCAAGAGCATAAAAAAGGACCATTCAGAAATGAAGGAGGCACTAAGTAAAATAAAGAATAATTTACACAGATTCAATAGTAGAGTACGTAAATCTAAGAAGAAACCATCGATTTGGAATATAAAGAAACAAAAAACGCCCAATCAGAACAGCAAAAAGAAAAAAGAATCCAAAATAATGAGGATAGTGTAAGGAGCCTCTGGGACAACTTCAAGCGTGCCAACATTCGCATCTTGGGGGTGCCAGAAGGAGAAGAGCGGGAACAAGAAATCGAAAACCTGTTTGAAACAATAATGGCAGAAAACTTTCCTAACTTGGTGAAGGAAACAGATATACAAGTCCGGGAAGCACAGAGAATCCCAAACAAGATGAACCCCAAAAGGTCCACACTAAGACACATCATCATCAAAATGCAAAAGGTTCAAGACAAAGAGAGACTCTTCAAAGCAGCAAGAGAAAGGCAGCTAGTTACCTACAAGGGAGTTCCCATAAGACTGTCAGCTGATTTCTCAAAAGAAACTTTGCAGGCCAGAAGGGAGTGGCAAGAAATATTCAGAGTGATGAAAAGCAAGAACCTACAACCAAGATTACTCTATCCTGCAAAGCTGTCATTTAGAATCGATGGCCATATAAAGACTTTCCCAGACAAGAAAAAGTTAAAGGAGTTCATCACCACCAAATCGTTATTATATGAAATGATGAAGGGTCTTTTTGAAGAAAAAGATAAATACATGAACAAACAACATGGCAATAAATATGTATCTATCAACAATGGAATCTACAAACAAAATGAACAGGCAGAACAGAAACATTCTCATAGATACAGAGAACATTTTGTTGGTTGCCAGATGGGAGGGGGGTTAGGGGAATGGGTGAAAAAGATGAAGGGATTAAGAAGTACAAATTCATTGCTAGACTGATAAACCTCAAAGGGAGCCCTGGCCGGTTTGGCTCAGCGGTTGGAGCATCGGCCTGCGGTACAGAGAGACCCGGGTTCGGTTCCCGCTAAGGGCACGTGCCTCGGTTGCAGTTTGTCCCCGGCCCTGGTTGGTCGTGCGGGTGGCAGCCACTCGATGTGTCC